TGCCTTTTCAAACAGGTTTTTGAGAGTGTTGGGACTACTGTGCTGAATTTAATTAACAACTGTCTCAGTCAGGGCATCTGTCCAGCTGGTTTTAAGCATGCTACAGCTCTCCCACTTTTAAAAAGGCCCAATCTGGCAGTGGAGGACACAAATAATTATAGACCAATTTCAAACCTACCTTTCCTTGCCAAGATATTAGAGAAACTGGTCTTTAAACAACTACAATCTTATTACCTTAAATGCAATATGTAAGCCTTTTCAATCCAGTTTTAAGTCTGGTCATAGTACTGAGACAGTGTTGGTTAAAGTGCTAAATGACATCTATCTATCAACAGACAATGGTGAAAGTGTTATTTTAATTCTGCTTGATCTCAGTGCGGCATTCGATATGGTGGACCATAGGATTTTAATTGAGCGCCTTGAACATTGGGGCGGCCTAAAAGGCAATGTGCTGAAATGGTTTGAATCTTATCTTACGGATAGGTCCTTTTCAGTGAGAGTTGGGAACTGTAATTCTTCAAGATTACATCTTCCTTGGGGAATTCCACAAGGGTCAATGTTGGCGCCGTTGCCGTTTTCTCTCTATATGCTACCTTTGGGGGCTATAAAGTATCATTCCACTGCTATGCACCCGTGAGAGAGTCAAACCCAGATTCCATAAAGGTGTTAGTAGCTTGTTTACAGGAGGTAAAGGCCTGGATGGCTGCTAATTTTTTGTTGCTTAATGAAAATAAAACTGAGGTTATTGTTTTTGGCCCTAAGAATCAAGAAGTGACTCAGTGTTTAAATTCAACGCACCTGGCTGGCTTTATGAAAACCCATGTGAAAGACTTGGGCTTCGTTCTGGATAGTGAATTAAAGATGGACAGGCAAATAAACACAGTGGTGAGATCTTGTTTTTTTCATTTACGTCTATTAGCGAAGTTTTCACTCGAATGGACTACTGTAACTCCCTTTATTTTGGAGTTGATTGTGGTGCACTGGGGCGCCTACAGAGAATCCAGAACGCAGCGGCGAGAATGATTAAGTCTGCAAAAAAACATGACTCAGTCACTCCATTACTTGCGTCACTAAATTGGCTGCCGGTACGGCTTAAAATAATTTATAGGATTCTTATTTTCATTTTTATGGCCCTTCACAATTTAGCCCCTGGGTCAAGTATGATATCAGTTTATATGAACCTCTGAGGTCCGAAAATCAACACCTCCTTTGTGTTACTAGGACAAAATACAAACACAGGGGAGATAGAGCCTTTTCGCGAGCTGGTCCAAAACTGTGGAATGACCTCCCTCATAGTATTAGATCCATTAACTCACTACCGTGTTAAAAGCACATCTTTTAAAGACTAATGAGGAGTTGTTGTGATGCAGGTTTAGTTATTTTAAACTGTGTCCATGTTGTTATGTGATTTGTGTTGTTATTTGTGACTATGCTTGTTTTTATGTCATTTTATTGTGATATTGTGAAGCACTTTGGGCAACCTGGTCTTGCATTAAACTGTGCTATATAAATAAATAAACAAACACACACTCACTCACACACAGATGATGTCAGTCTTACCTGCATGAGCATGTAGTAAATGCCTGCCAGACCATGAGCTGCTCCCACATACTGTTTCTTATGCCACTCGTACAGCAGCGGGCAGCGCTCGGCTTTCTTCTCCTCTTTAGACAAGTTCTTCCCTGACTCCAGAACAGCAGTCACCACCTGGGAAAAAGAGAGAGCGCACTGGGGTCAGATAATGGTCTTGTTATGGATCAAAGTGTCGGTCACTTTCCAGTAATCAGCAGGTTTATTTGCAGCGGTTCAACAAGGGTTAAAGAACTGATTAAAACATGCTGTCAGCAAATACAAAGTAAAAGTGTGTTTTTCTGTGAAAAATCACAGAACTATTAGAAAGGCTGCAAATGTCACATTTATGCCAGCAACGAGTATCATTAGGAGAAACCATGTATCCAGGAAAACCATGAACTGCTGCATGGAAAAGAATCGTGCATGGATTCTTCAATTCTCCTTCATTTTATACCACCTTTATTAGAAGTACTGTCCAATGTATTGTATGTAATGCATATTTACATGTGTACGGTGTATGTAATGTACATTAACATGAAATTTACTAAAGTTTACAAAAACTTGAATCAAGGATTCAAATCAAAACCTAAATCACAAAACCAGACAAAAAAATCAATAAAATAAAATAACCCCCAAAAAACAAAGCTGCAAAAACCCTAAAAGCAAAAGATTAAAGGCCGTTCACACCAAGCACAATAACTATAAAGATATAGTTCTAAAACTCGAGGAAGTGTTATTATGGATTATGGACTCAATGTATTTTAGTATCTTAATGCTGGATTAGTTTCAGCTTTTGTCTTCTCCAGATGTTAACTGATGGACTGGAGTGCTGTGGATTACTTGTGGATTATTGTGATGTTTTTATCAGCTGTTTGGACTCTCATTCTGACGGCACCCATTCACTGCAGAGCATCCATTGCTGAGACACTGATGCAATGCTACATTTATCTTTTAACAGCCCTCCGATGTCTGTACAAATCACATAAACCTTTCATCTCAACCACCTCAAAGCCAGAGTTATATTTTCACCAAAACATTCAGAAATAGTCAGTGACTGATTCTCAAAAGCAAATACTCCTATTGAAGTAAATGAAGAATAATTGCTTCAGATCAGGGCTGTCAAAGAAACAACAAGCTGCAGATGGTGGAGATGTTGCCTGCTGAGATGAAGACTGGAGGTCACAGGAGCATCTGAAGCTATCTGTTTTCAGATGCAGTCAACTGTAAAAACCACTGCAGACAACAAAAAGACTATTACTGTATGTGTCTTCTGGAGTTAAGATGCATTTACTCTGCTATAAAGACAGGTGCTACTCACAAAATCAAGTTATTGTGCATCTTTGTGTCTAAATATAATAAAAAATATGTATTAGGTAGGTTTTTGTAAAATCAAGTTTAGTAATCAAAAGCCAAGAAGTTATAAGCCATATCTGAGTCCTGGTCTCAGTCATCTCTGTATGCTGGGATGGCTTCTGCTCGAAATATACCCCGAGACGGATATGAGGAGGAGAATGTGTGTACTGTATTATTTCAGCACAGATTTCACAGATCCAGACACGGAAACAGAGCTGATCACGCCACAGACTCCTTTAATAACCATAAATCCTGCTCGTGCCAGACTCAAGTCAGAGGCAGCTTTAATGTTTCATCATTACTGTGGCACACAGATGCATTACTCTCTTCATCTCGCTCCTCTCGTCTGCCCACATACACTGAGAAACTGGACACCGGCCAGAGAATGAAGACTATAATGCATGACGTACAGTAAAGAGGATGAATGCATCTGCTGCAGACACACACACACACACACACACTCCAGAGATGTGAGCAATCAGAGGAACACCAGCAGTTTTATCAATGGATGCATTTGTAATGTATTTTTATCAATGCAAGTTTTACTGGTTATTATACTTCATGTTAGGGATATTAACAAAAAATAATATCTCAATATTTTCTGGGACTTTATCGATAACAATAATTAGACGATATTTTGCTAGGGTCTCTTAAGCCATAAAAACCCCAAAGATCATGCATGATTCTATGCAGACGCTACAGTGTGTTATTGTGCTTGTATCTTAAGGACTGCCAAAGACAGCTGACTCCTAAAGTTTTTAATATTCTTCATAATTTGTGTGCTGGTCAGTTCACACTGATAGAAATTAATCTTTTCCAATAAGTTTAAACTGATTTTTACATTTTATGGGCATTGTTACCTTTATAAAGCCATTTCTTCTTAAAGTGTCCGTTATCTTTTGAGTCAAATTGTTACATTTAATCAGTGAATTAGAATGATAAGACATCTGGGCTGTTACAAAGCAAATGAAAGTTACAAATGCATAAATAATGTTTTGATATATTAAACAAAATGTGGAATACTGATATTTGAAATTATTTAAATAATAAAAGCTACTTTAAATGTGAAATTAAAACCACCGGTAGGTGGCAGCGAGTCACTGTTAATAAGTGAGTCACTGTGACTGAACCGAATCGTTTAAACGCTTGATTCATTCAGGAACGAATCACTATCATGTTGCTCAGAGACGCAGAACAGAGCTGTGTTTGGAATGATTTTGTTGTCGAAATAGAGCAAAAACAGGCAATATGGTGTCTAAAACGTAAGTCTCTTATTAGCTAACTTCTTGTTTATTGAACTGTTGTAAAAAATCAATATCACATTTGTAATCACGGTAATTTTTGGAGAAAAACGGCAATCTTCGTATGAAATTGATTAACTATATGAAGTGGTATAAATAAATACTTTTTCTGCCATCATGTCTTGAATTTGCGATCGTTCTAAATGCATTTTAATAGACTGAATCATGCAGTGAAAGAACGCCCGCGCACTAGTCTAGACTTCACGTAATGCGAGCGTGCGCTCTGTAGGGGTGATTTGAATGGTTTTTGCAAAATACTCGATAATGTCAAATCCATATCGTTAAAACAACAATTCTGATATTACTACAGATTGCACACCCCTACTTCACGTGCATGTATGAATACAGACAGATGTTGACATTGACCTTGATGATGGTGTTGTTGTCCACCGCGTCCGGCCCGATCTCTGCGTTCACATACAGCAGAGCGAAGAGGTATCCGGCTCGACCGTACAGAAGCTCATCAGGAACGTCGGAGTCTGGACTGAGCACTGAGCGCTGGAGCTGGAGCAATCTGAACACCAGAGGAAACATGCATTATAATCTCTTTGTACAATACTGAAAAATAGCTTGCCAAACACTTTGTACATCATGCGTGTTAAAATGCAAGTTTCCAGATGTTGCTACAATAGGACCTTACAAATAATGGAAATTATCTCAATATCTAGATTAGATTTTTTTTTTATTTTGACATTGGAATATTTTCATAAATTTCAGACAGTGTCTGCATCATACATTTTCAGACACAAGACTTAAAAAAGAAGAATATGTATTCATTTTATTTAATCTTTTTCAGATTGTATTCATTTAATTTTATTTGTTTTTCAAAAGTATGTAAATATGTACTTTAATTTATATGAAGTATGAAATGGTCAGATGATTTGAGTCAATGATAATGTAATGTAATCCTGATTAAATAAACCATGCTGCTCGAGAAACATTTCTGATTATTATCAATGTTGAAAACTTTTGGTGGAAACTGTGATACATTTTATTTTTCAGGATTCACAGATGAAGAGAAAGTTCAAAAGAACAGCATTTATTTGAAATAGAAATCTTTTGTGACTTTATAAATGTCTTTACTGACACTTTTGATCGATTTAATGCATCCTCGATCAATAAATGTATACATTTATTTAAAACAAAAATATTACTGGACCCAAAATTATCTGGTTTAATCTATTCTAGACATTAAAAATACACACAAATCAGTTTAATATAATTTGAACATCATGTAGCATTTCTCCTTCTGTTTTCCTTTTTCTTTTCAACTCAATCTTGTGTTTGAACAGCACAATGAGTTGAGAGCACAGTAAGGGCAGAGCTGGACGAGGGTTTATAATCAGACTCCCGCTGAGAGCTGCAGTCGATCTATCAGACGAATGAGTTCAGAGAGCACAGCACGCCGCCGCTGAATAACACACACGCTCCCCACAGACGCATGAGAGCCAGAGCGTCTCACTACAACACACACAGAAACACCTCAGAGGACCAGAGCTCAGCTCCAGCTCTTCAATCAAATCAGAGTCTGTTCTCCTCACCAGTGCACGACAAACTAGTGCCTTCGGGTTCCTCAGTGGCCGATGGCAATTTCTAGAAATAATAGTGGCTAATATAATACAATTTACTGACAGCAAATCCAATGTAGACAATGATTTTTAGAGCTGTCAGTTTAATGCATTAATTAAAGTGCCCTTATTATGGATTTTTGACCTTTCATGCAGTGTGCAACACAGCTCTAAGTGAATGAAAACATCCTGCACAGTTTTAAATCTGAAAGTGCACCGTGTATAAAGTTATTGTCTCTCAAAAGAAAGAGTCGACTCTGAATCACTTAAACGAGTCCCGCAGACCCTGGGAAAACTTGAAGCTTGCATGCATGTCAACTTGTTGTTGGAGACTCCCAAAACCGAAATATGAACCTTTCATAACCCATAATAGGGTTTATTTTTATTAATATTTTTGTAAATACCTAGGGCAGTTTAGCAATTAATTTTTTTTATCTAATTAATCACAAATTAATCACACATCAATTTGGACTGAGAAATGTCCCCCCAAAAGATCATTTAAAGTCATTATTGTGTTAAACGAGAAAAGCATTAAACAAACAGTACACACAGCAGCTTTAGAAAGAAACATTTTGATCCAACATTGCATGAATAATGATAATAAATGGGCATTAATTTTGTTTTAATGAATATTGAAATATGAAAAGATTTTTAAAAAATGAAATAAATGATACTCTAAATATGAAACTAAAAGCACCAGTAGGTGGCAGCAAGTCTCTGTCTTTATAAATGAGCCATTGAATTATTCACTCACTCGATTTATTGATTATTGACTGTTGATTCATTCAGTAACGAATCACAGCTGTGTTTTGATCAGAGACGCTCAACAGTTCTGCTGTGGCTTTGATTAGAACTATTTTCTATTTTTTTAACACATTTCCTTGTTGTATAAATCAGGATCACATTATCAATGGTGCAGATATTGGTTAAAAGCAGTACTCTAGCTGGTGTGATATTGCTAAACTATATCATATAATAGAAATATAAGAGTGTGATTCTTTTGCACTCATATCTTGAATTTTAGGCTCATATAACTGCATTCTAATAGACTTCATCACGCAGTCAGTCGTCCTGCATCAGGATCATCAGACACTGCATCAATGTAAGTAATAAGTAATCTCACCAAATTAACATGCTAAATCAACAGCCCTATAAATAACAAGTTAAAATTAACACATTTAATCATGCCCCCTGACTGTAATAGTGCATTTTCCAACCATTGGGTTAATTTAAGTTTTGTGCACTACTTTATTTTGCAAAACCACAGCTAGCTTTCCCAAACACACTTCCAGAGAACAGGCAGTGGAAGCAAGCAGAGAAAGCCAAAGAGACAAACAGAGAGTTAGAAATGCTCCTTACTTCGTGAGGCACTCCTGGGACTCGGTCTGGTTCTTTAAGTGGTGGTGAACGACTGCGCCTACAGCTAGAGGCCCGGCGTCTCCGCACAAGAAGCTGACGCGCCGCCCGTTCAGGTTCCTCAGCGCGCGTTTGACGTAATCCAGAGCCCGCTGCAGATGCGAGGCCTCCTGCGTCACTCGATACAGCTGCAGGTACAGCAGGGCTATGCCTGCCGAGGACAATCACCTTACAATGCATTGGGACTCTACTACTGTACAGCATATTCAAAACATGCAACAAATTCAACTTTAATATTTATTATTTTCCATTTATTTCATATTGGATTAGCAATTTTCTTGGCATATTTGGAAAATTTTCTATAAATTAACGTGTGTGTGTGTGTGTGTGTGTATTAGTGCTGTTAAACAATTAATCGCATCCAAAATAAAAGTTTTTGTTTACATAATATATGTGTGAGTACTGTGTATATTTATTATGTATATATAAATACACATGCATGCATGTATATATTTAAGAAAAATATGTTGTTTATATATTAAATATTTATATATTATATAAATTATATGAATATAAATATATACATGTAAATATTTTCAAAATAAATGCTGTATGTGTGTGTATTTATATATATGTAATAAATATACACAGTACACACGCACTTAATATATATATATATATACACACACACACACACACAAAATGTTGGTTTGTAGTTAATTAAAATATATTTCCAAGGGTTTAATAGATGAGAGCTTGACAAATGCAGTGAATAATAAAATTTGAGCATTTAAAAAAATGTTTTCTTATCTTCCTTATATGCTGTATGGTCCAAATTACATTACTTTCTTTAAGAATTCAAAGGAATGTTCATTTTTTAACAGGGGAAAACCAGGCAGCAACAGCATTGCATGCTGTGACATTATACACACAAAAATAATAGCACACTGATTTATATTCTATTCTGCAAAAGCTGCAAATAAAGTCCACGAAGTTCATCATATTAACTGTTTGGTATTCACCTGTCCAGCCTGTGTAGGTGGAAAAATCATGTGGATCTGCAGTCTTCAGGCCCTCCTCCATCTGTTGGAGAAGATCTGTGATCTTGCTTTGCACCTTCTTCTGAAAGGCGTCACTGATCTATTTTCAGGGAAGGGGAAAAAAAGAGTTTGTAAGTAAGCTTCCAAGCTTCATTTGACAAATAGTTGTTTTATTAATGAATTCACAAAGAGACACTGGCACTGAATAGCGTACAGCGCTGTGTTCAAAAATGTTGCGGACCAAATACAGAGCCCTGCGGAATCTCCATTATAAAATTCAAAATATATGCATATCGAATCCATTCTCAAAATTGATTTGATTTAAAAAGATATGCATATGCATACCTACTGCATCACAGACACACTTCTAACCTTTAAAAGTGAACTGTACTTCAGAGACTTCTTGGCCCTGCAATGCAACATCTCAGTTCAGCCTTCAGGAACTACTCGGAGAACCACTGATAATATTACACAGAGTCATTACACAAATATTTGCAAACGTTTGACAAAGTCACAGAGAGACTAGCTAATCGTATACCGAATCAACTGTCACCTGTGATTTGCTGACAATGGTACAAAGAGCAATGTGGCACCCCGGGATCCTGGTGCTCAGCCTGATACAAAGAGCACATCTGAACACAGAAGAAAAAGTTCCTTTTTATTCAGACTGTTTACTGCCACAGGGGAAAATTCATAATGTCTATTGCTATTTCTGAAGGTCTGAGTTCAATAGCTTAGGAACCTTGGGCACGGTAGAGTGAAGGTGGATCGAATCCAGAGTTATTTTCTCCTGCAGCAGTGAGTCTGTGAGGCGAATCCTAATGAGGAGCAAACCTCATCTATCACAAGCAACCCTGACAAAGACACTGACATACACAATCTTAAAATAAGTAGTAAGGAGTAATTGTGGGTAAAATAATCCACTAGGGGCAGATATTTAAGCTCACATCTATATTTTGCCTACACTGCAAAAAGCCGATAATAAAATGCTTTAGTCAGATGATAATGCTCTATAGTAATTTATATAAGAATAGTCTTAAAATTAAATTGGGGACATTTGGAAAATAGAGTTTAAAACCATGATGTGTGTCATTTCACATGTAATGTAAGTAAACATTTTATATAATTTACAAATTATTTAAATCATAAATAATTCATAAAAAGAAAATCATAAAAAAATAAATAAAAATATATAATATTTCTATGATATTTTTTACTTTTAAAAAAATGTGTCGAATAAAAATTATGCCAGAATGGAAAACAGGGTTGCAAATTTTGCCTAAAATAAGGTATCAGGTCAGTGGGGACCAGTGTAATTTTAGTTTTCTAAAATTAAAATTAAAAACATTAAAAAAAAATAAAAAATAGTTTTTGAAATCAAATAAACATTAACTAAAATATATATATATATA